CCACTAGATACACTCCAGCAAAGCTTATGTTTGGTCGGTAACTTCGGTTGCCAGTGGATCTGTTAACAAGATCCCCACCTTATGAAGAGTTGCCTGAAAATGTGTCAGAGTTTGAGAAAGTGTTATCGGAAAGGATGGATGATATTCACCATGAAGTGCATTCAAACTTGAAAACGTCTGCTGATTTGATGAAGTTATGTTATGATAAGAGATCTACTGAAGTCAGCTTTGTACCAGGAGACAAAGGGAAGTCTCCTAAGTTGTCATTTCCATGGGAAGGCCCATATGACGTAGTGGATCGTCTCTCAGACGTGACTTTCCGGATAAAATGTGGTCGGTGAGGTAAGCCAAAGGTGGTGCATGCCAACAGGCTTTGACGTTATCACAGTCCAGGATATTTCAGTTGGAACGAAGTGAACAATGAAACAAATGATGCTGCTGAAGACGTGCCACCTGAAAAAGCCACTGTCAAAGAAGAAACTCTACCCAGTTTTGAGAAGGGAAACAGTGAAGCCCTTAATGAAGTTACTACCACTGATGTGAATGTTACCGATAATAGGACAATTCCCGATGGAGCAGATGAACCCCACGTGAAGAAGAAGCCAAAGAGATGGAGACCAGTACGGAAGAGGATATGTCCTGTAAAATTAAGAGACTTTGTTGAATTTTAAATTTGTGTTTGTAAATTCTGTACATTTAATTAAGTTATTGTTAATTTTCTATTGGTTTAATGTAAGTGGCTATTGTTTGGGACGAAAAATACTAAGGAAGTGGCAGTGTTACGACAGCGGAAATCACGTGACGCCGGTAACACGTAATGAGTTCTAGAAAGATCGGGGAACATCACGAATAATCCAGTATTTGGTAGGCGCCATCTATTCTTGTATATAAGTGAGCCAGACAATTAATCGGGATTAGAATTGCAGACAGGCAGAGACAGAGACCGACAATTGATTCAAGCGCGGTAGTGAAGTGCGTGAATCGTTGTGAATTCTAGCGTGTGTTTAAGTATATTGCTAAGTTGTATTGAGAGGGAATAAATTAGTTTTATTTAAGAAAGGACTTGTATCGCTGAAGTTTCTCTGAAATAACTTCTACGGAAAATTAACAAACGAATACAGACGTAACAATATATATGTATATATATATATATATTATAACGTATTTGTGTGAAAAGAAAAACGGTGTGAATCAATCTTGTTGGCAAATAGCGTAAATTAAATAAAATATCGGCATATTTCTAAACACTAAGTTCAACTTTGGATTATTTCAAATTTTCTATACGTAACAACCATTAGATTTTAAACATGATTCAGGTATGAACATGTTACATTTTTTACTCAATTTTACACATGTTTATATACTTACGGAGTTTGTGTATAGATAGAGGTCAAAATGTTGGAGCGAGACTTTTGAAAAAGTAAAATTTTAGCACTCGGTAAAGTGCTGCAAGAGCCGAAGGCGGTCGCTTTTCTAGAGAGGTCTGGGGACATGCTCGATCAATGTAATGCTGAATTTGACCTGGATCCAACTGGTTAACCGACCACAGTCGTTATAGAAAGCTAATAATTTGGCCAATATGTTTTTTTAGTTAAAAAAGGCATGCGAGTGTGAGAACAGGCACTGATGTGTAAATCTCACTCATAGTAGGTGGTTGCTGGTAGCATTGTATAACAAGTCATTAGGTACGGGATTTATATAAATATAAGCAAAAGTAACCAACACAAGAAAAATTAATCTATCAATATAAATTATTTCATGAACTTTAAAAAACTTTAGCTCTAACCTATTTATACCACCTATTGCGAAAAGTAATTGTTGAACATTTGGGTCATGCACTCAACAATAACATACAGTAAATCTACACGTGTGTTCTTTAAGTTATGTCACATTTTGAAACATGAATGAAAGTGTGATTAATTTCTAACAATTTAATGTAGAATATCCTGCTTGCGAAATAGAATTATTCAAGAATGTTCTTCCGTCATCTCAAAAGTGAATGCTGAACTTTGGTTGCGTGCGCAGCTTTTCAAACGCAGCGGGAAACGGCCGCCGTAAACGAGAAACAGACGAACGCTCAGACAGACATCACTGTTCGCAATATATTAGATCTTTAAAAAATTACTGTCGCGTTTTGGAACATTTTCATTAACCACCCCGAAAAAACGTACATCACGTATAACAGTTTTACGAACCGCCTAAACGTCACGTTAGTGTAGCATATATAATGTGTAAAGTTTAGTATACTCTAATCTTATAGTGATGGCACACGACTAGACTTACATTCGGCATGTAATGCTGTTTGAATACAAGGAGGACAACAACGTCTCTGTAGCCACAAAGAATATCAAATAAGTTTATGGAAATGTTTTGAACGTTTGTAAGTGTGAACGATGGTTCAGCAAATTTCATTCAGGTAACTTTAGCCTTAAAATCTGTGATGCCAGGAACCGACATGCTGGAATTGATAATGATGCTCTGAAGACGCGTGTTGAGTCTAACCCAAGGCAACACACTCATGAAATGTCCCTGAAATTGCATATCTCTCATGAAACAATACCTAAACATATATATGCTAAAAAAAACTATAATAACTAAACTACAAACAACAAAAACAAAATGAATTGAGTTAAATCAGTGAAAATAACTTCTAGACAATCGTTGAATGATTCGACAAATCTGACCTCTCAATGAAACGACCTTTAATCTGTTTCTTTGTTTGTAACTAAACACAAAGCTACACAATGGGCTATCTGTGCTCTGCCCACCACAGATATCGAAACCCGGATTCTAGCGTTGTAAGTCCGCAGACATACCGCTGTGCCACTGGGGGCGACCTTTAATCTAAAAATGTGATAGAATTAGAACGTCATTTAACAACCATATGCTATAAAAAATTTAACACACGAAAGCTATTTAAGTAAATTTGACTAGAAATTATACTTGAGTTACATGTTTTTTCAACTCGGCGAACTTTCTCACGACTAATTTTTGACAAGGTGAACTTTCCTAAAGCATTTCGGATTTACAACACTGAAACCCGGAGTTTGATCTTCCGCACTGGAAAGAGCGCAATTAGTCCTATGTGTAGCTTTGCGTTTAGAAACAACAAACGTAAGGCGATTTTTTTGAACCAAGGGAATAAGGAGTGTTCAGTAAATGAGACCGAATTATGTTTCAATGAATTAACTAAAGCATGTTGCAT